GGTGCCAGTGCCATTTACTCTGAAAGCACTGTAAAACCTCTTGGGCCTGGACATCCCAGTGTTCATTGGATGCAGCACTGTTAAGTGAACATTGTCATCCGTTTTATAACATTGTAATCGACTTCACAACATTGTCATCGGATGACCATGTGATTAAATTGGAGATGGACCAAGAGAACGTGTTTCGCCCTTTGGTTCTTTTAACGCATCCAAAGTCATGAAAAGGTTCACGATTTCTGAGTTTCAATCCTACGTGTTACGTTGTTCAACGCTTGTTCCCTACCATTGATGTTTTATGTCGTGAGGGCTTTGGGGACATGTTTGCCTCTAATACTTTCACCTCATTGTGTGCAATTGTATGTTTCCAGATGAGGTGAACATATGTGTTTAGGCTCATTGGGTTTTATATCGTTTTATTGTTGTTGGTTGTGTTCTCTTTCCGCTTCGGCTCCGTCTTGATCCTGTTCGTGTTTGTTTGGTGCGCTGGACACGACTTTTGACAGGAGATTTGGAGTGAGTTTTCGTTTGTCAAGCCGCGATATTTGATGTATTGACACTGAATTCAACCAGGGTTTGCCACGAATGATTCGGTCAAGAAGTATTTTAGGATGTTTGCCTTTGAAGCAGCGTTTGGAACAGTGCAATTTTGCCATCAGCATTTTGACGCATCAAAATCATCACATCTGTTCGTGTCGGAGAATGGCACCGAAGAAAGACGAGAAGAAGCGTGAGAAAATGGATGACTGATGAGGACAAGCAGGGCGGTTATGATGACAAGTCCAAGGGATTCCAAGGGGACAAGTTCTGATGGTCGTCCAGGTCAAGAAATGACCCCATCTTCGTCCCTACCTCCAATGTGAATGTTGATGAGTTGGCATCAGCACTTCCTTGTCCCTTGAAGAGCAGTTCATGGTGGAGAAATGCGAAAAAATGCGGTGTCAGTTCTTACATTCATCGAGTGTCTCCTCGTTCTCGGCTTTTGGGCGCGCTGAAATGGGAATCTCGAAAGGGGGATCCGGAAAGCGTTCTGCCCCTGCGCCTACAGGAAATGACAGATAACGCAAGCGTGGACTGGAAAGCATTGCTGCACTCAAACCAGCTTTGGTGAGTTAGTTGCAGGCCTGCGGGTCTGGCTCTGGGAAATTCAAGCCAAGCCGGAAGAAGACGTTGAACGTCTTGATCGCAACGGATCCAACCGCCTGCTTCTGGCTCAATCCCGGACAGCATTTGGGGTAGATCCAAGGTTCACTTCCCAGACGAAGCAGGCAATGCAGGCCATCATAAGAAGAAAAACTATATCTATATCTATTTGTAGTACGCAGGAGAAAATTAGATAACTAAACATTGAGGAATTGAATATAATTGAATTTAGAACATGGAGGATTGATTGCTGACTTTGGGAGTGATAGTGAGGATGAAATAGGATGAAAACTGAGAGAGAAGATAGAAGCAGATGATGATGATGATGATGATGATGATGATGATGATGATGATGAAATAAGACCATTTGTAACATGTCATCCTATGCTTTACCAGATGATGAGGATGGAAGCGCCTTCTTGCATAAAGTAATTGATCGGCTAAAAGAAAAGAGAAGGAGTATATAAATGGTATGATATGCTGTTTCATTTGTGAGGTTTGACATGATTAAAAAAGAAAAAATAATGAACATACAAAAGCAACAAATCATGTGTATGAACACTTCTCATTGATTGTGGCGAGGAACTCAACCATGATGGAGAATTCAATGCTATGATTACACGCCTAACTCTTCTAACACTAGCTATGGATGGAACGATATGAACAAATCTTGTCTAACATAAAGCCGCCATTGAACACTGGTGGGATGGAATATATAGGAAAATGGAAAGGATAAGCACCATTGATTCATAATATCATAATTAAGCATGATGAAGTAGTCCTTAAGCCCAAACATAAAACCCTAAACAAATATTCACCTCATCCTAAAACAAACGATGAGGTGAAAGTTAGGGGCAAGAATGACCCAAAGTCCCCACAACAAAAAGCATCAACGACAAGGAACAGACATTGTGCAGCAACACCCTACAACTACAACATCCAACAAATGAATACTGGGATATCCCAGCATCCCCCTTTTTATCATTCGTTTTTTTTGGGGGATCACTATTTTTCAACTTACAAAGCCAAAATGGCTCTCCCCAGATACTTCCAGATGCTTGGTCCTGGTGTTCCGCGCTCCAAGCCCCCTTTAACGGAGAAACGACCTGGTCGGCCGTTCGGTGGGCTTTGGGAAGAATCGAAACATGCTTCGTTGGATGACGACCGAGGGGACTGGCATACGTATTTACAGATATTTACACATGGACCCCATGTTGAACCATATAACCAACCAGCCCCATTGTAGGTCAAGTTGGCTCCAAGAGTTGTCCTTTTCAAATGTGTGACAGTGTGTGTGTGTGTGTTGGTCCCGTACATTCCGGACTTATACGTATATATAAAATGATTAATTAGTAATTATGTAATATGGACATTATTATATGTTGACCTTAATATATATATATAATACTGACCTTATTTCAACTACCCCCACTTCGCTTCCCCAGCTCCGAGGCCGTGAAGCCAAGGAGCGGAGTTTGTGAAGCTTCCGTGGCGTGGGCGTAGTGAAATCCGGTGCGTTCAGATGGTCAACACCTTATTTGGGGGGGGTGTTTGTAAGCCACCCGATTTTTAGTTGGGTGGTGCTGGTGATGTTGAAGAAGGATATCTAAGATTTGCAATTTGTTGAGTTTTGAGGATCAACGAGTTCAAGAAGAGTTCAAGCAGCCAAGCAAACAACTCTTCGACCCAGGGAAAAGGTGTCCATTGGCTTCGAGAGTCAGGGCAGGCTGCTGGGTTTGGAATGTTTGAACATATACATTATAGTATATTAATGTATATTATATGTGTATATATATATATAACATTAAGTCCAAGCCGGAATTGGTCTGAATCTGAAGACTTGGGTGAACATTCAACAGTGATACCCCCTGGCTCAGTGGGACCATCTCACAGCCTTTGTGCCGGCAGCAGGTCGAATGAAGCAGGGTCACTGACTGTCACCATGTCGTGGCTCTTCGTGTTTGCACCGTTGTGCCATTGACTGTAAGCCTCCCACGCGCGTGTGCAACGAGGGGGTTGATTCTGAACTGGCACAGGTAGGCGTGTCACAATGAGACTACCTCAACCTGAGAATCTCGCAGAATGGTTCCTTCAGAGGGCCATCATGCAGCGCCCATTGCGCATTTCGGACGATGCGGAGTTTGAACAATGCAGAATTTCACAGATCTTCAAGTTGACAGAAACTTTCCACCGTAAGAATCCTTTGCATCCTTGAAAGCAGGGGGCGACCCTCCACAATCCCTTTAATTTGAGGGCCCGGATTCTGAAATCAGAACAGCTCGGGCACTTTGGAGCTCGATATCATGCACAGATGCAGTGTTGGTATAGTACGCGTGGCGGCCAACTGCACATGTTCCGCGACCTTCAGGAGACCCGGGCTGGTGAGTGAATGGCTTCTGCTCACCGGACGCAGCGGTTTCACCCAGTTATGGCGGGCTTGGAGCCAAGGCTTTTTGCAATGAAAAGCCACGATGCTGAACACTTTTGCGAGCCAGACTGAGTTGCATGAGACCGGAAAGTTTTTGGCAATGTTTGGAAATTCAAAAAGTCTCAGAAGTCTGTTCGAGGTCGATTAATCCTTTCTACAAGTGAGCAGCTTCAAAAACCTCTATGATGAAAAGTGTGCAAACTGTAATCTCACATTCTTTCGCGAAAGCCAAAACGCAGGTCGCGAAAGGTTCGCGAAAGCCCCGCGAAAGAACCCCAGAAGAACAGCGTCGCGAAAGCTTTCGCGAAAGTCGAATTTCTTGTGCATGTCGTGTTGTTTATGTGGGTGACCATATTTTTATGCAGGCAGCCGCAGCAGGCCAGCCAGCCAGCCAGCCAGCCGCAGCAGACCAGCCAGCAGCAGCAGCAGCAGCACTGAAGAGCAAGTGTTTCAGGGGAAAATCGAAAAGCCCAGACGAATTTCCGCGAAAGCCGCGCGAAAGCCTCGCGAAAGAACCGCGAAAGTCGAAAATATCCGGGAAAGGTATCTGGCCCCAGCAAAAACTTTCAGCAAGTTTTCCTCCTCTTCTGATGACAACAATAATACTTGAACGGTGCTGCTACAACTCCTTGTGCCTGGATGTTGCCGGAAAGAAATTTGTTCAGTTTTGACATATCGGATAACTTATATAGATCAATCACTTTATTGTACAATATCCCAATCGAATTTCCCAATCGAAAAAGAATCGCCGCGAAAGCCGCCGCGAAAGCCCCACATAACACCACACCTTCCGCGAAAGCCAGAATGCAGGCCGCGAAAGCTCCGCGAAAGCTTTGCGAAAGCAAACCTGGATTATACAAAAAAGTAATAGGGGTTTTCGAAGCTGCTCAAGTAAAAAGACAATAATCATAGTAATACTTTTTCAATATACTGTGGGGTGGGGCAGGTGACTATTACCCACCTGGACGAGCGAAATGTGTTGGCCCGAGCCGCCCAGAAACTAATCTGACCGGCGCAGCGCTGCGCAAAACGAAGGGATTTGGGGATGCTGCGCATCTGACAGGGGCTCTCATCAGAAACCTCTGAAGAGTGAGGGGTTTGTTGATAGAGACCCCTTAACCTCACCTCCAAGGATGGATGCTTACAGTAGCTTCAGATGGACGGTTCGGGGAGGTGGGTCATGACAGGACGGGGGTATAGAGGCCTCAGGTGTAGAAGTGAAGAATGTCATTGAGCTGAAACATATTGGAAAGCATGTCTCGTCGCGGCTATGCCATATAAATATCGAAAATAAGAAACTGCCCCTAAGTTGTGAAGTCATCTTCCAAAACTCCGAGGTGTTAGGTTTGCCGAAGTGCAGGTTCTTCGTCTCCTCAACCCACCAGAACCCTCCAACCATCTCCAACCTCACCGCGTGCGGCCGTGGTCTTCGAGCTTCTCAAGGCCAAATTCGTCCACCTCTGTCGATCTCCCTTCGCTCGCCATGGCCCTGAATTTTGTCCTTCCAGCCTCACCTTCGACGCTCGCACCTGCGCCCAGCGTGGCCACCCACCACGCGAGCACCGCCTCAGCGGGTCCTGCGGGCGCAGCACCCACGGGTGGCTTAGCGGCGACCTGTGCTACGGTGGCGGCAGTCGCAGGGCTGGCACAACGGCAGCGGAACCGCAACAAGGCGTGGTGACGGATGTGACGGTTGGGTGAAATTGGGGCTCTGTCATGGTCGATGCTGCAGGAATCCTTGAAAGGACCTTAGGGATAGTGAGTGGTGGAGATGTGGTGGATGGTACAATAATCCGATACATACAATACTGGATCCACATGATGTCCACATGTCCTTTGTTTTCCATTGCTCAGCGCATCCTGAGGGTCTTTGCTGGGTGAGGTGTCCAAATCCACCACTTCGCTTTTTGATTCACTCGATGGCTTTATGGGGCCCCAGTCGATGCCCACCATACTCGGTGCGATCAACGGAGACAGAGACGTTGCAAACATCACTTCCTGGATCCGGTCAGACCTCTCGAGAATCACATGCTTGGGTTTCTCATTATAACGTTCACTTTGCAAAACGCCGTTCTGGTTTCGACCCCAAAACACCCAGCGATTGCTGAAGTGTGGAAACTTGAAAACTCCGGCAGCGTCGAAACACCAAGCAGCTGCGGCCCAGCGTCGAAACGACCCCTTGAGAGATCGGTCGTCTCAGGTGGCGCGCAAGTTCTCGCTGAATCTGCCCAACATGCCCGTGCCGAAGCGAAATGTGAGATTCTTCGGAGTCTGGATGTGGGTGTGGGTCGATGCTTTGGTTGACCACAGCATGGTTTGTTGATGTTCAAGGAATGAAAGCTGTGGGAACATGATCTTTGTTAGGAGCAGCTTGGCCAGCACTTGTTATTTGCTTGTGGAACACTTCAACTGCAGGACACCAGCACAGACCTACTGCAAAGGGTGGTATCCATGACTTGGTAGACGAAGCCTCCCCAGGATGTGCCCTTGACGTCCAAGACCAAACTAATCAAAACTATATGAGCCACGGTCAAAACATGCGAAGACCACTTTAGTAAAGAGGGGTAGGTTTGTGCACAAAACCCTGCAAAACGATAAGGTCCACCTCAAAACCGATAACCCCAGCGCTGTATATGGTCATAAGTATTCGACGAACTCAAAACGCTGTAAAACGATAAGGTCCACCTCAAAACCGATGACGTCCATTTTTTAGCTGAAGAAGAATAAGGAGTTTTGACCGTCCCTCATATATATATATATATATATATGTCGCACCAATATCGCACCACCGAAGTAAAGCAATAGTCTTGGACTCTCAGGGTGTGTTTTACTGCAAAATCAAGTGAGACTCGGCCTCAGAAATCCGATCCTGGAGGAGCTCATCCAATCAAACAGTGCACAGGATGTCCATGTGTTGAAGCCTTTTTGAGAGACCAGCCACTGACAGTGGCCCCGGTAATGTTTGATGGGATCTTGGTGTGGTTAAAGTCCGGGATTGTAGAATGGTAGAAGCCTAGCGGCCCTAGCATGTTTCATGGGATCTTGGTATGGTTCTGTGTAGTCCATTATACTGGATGTGCCTTTCTGAAAATTGTGTGGCCTTGCTGTGATGTGCCTTTCGTGAGCATGATGTGCCTTAGGGCCGCCGCTTGTACTCTAGACTACAGCCAGTATTGCATCATGGTACATGAACCCTAGCTACCGTTTTGTTGCACAATTGCTTGCAACCTGCAAACTGCGCCGTTCACAGCAAAACAACATATAGCTTTCGATAGCTTTTTCAGCCCCGGAGAACGACCAGCTCATCAACCAGCTACCAGAATAAGCTAGTCAACACCTGACCCGGAAGGCAGGGAAAAACCTGTTGGAGTGATGTCAACACCTTCCGGGCAGTTTCGCACTTCCATCATCGTGTCATCATCGATGGCCTCAAAATCAACAACTATGGAATCTGACCTGCCGCCCCTCAAAAGCCGCCCAAGAAGTCCCTGGCTCCATGAGTCTGACTCATCACAGCGGATCCTGAGTCCGACTATTTTGAAGCACTCAGGATGTCTTTTTGAGGCTTATCGACGTCCATTGAATCTATTGATCTATAGACTCTAGACTTAGTCTGTAGACTCGATCCTTTTGACTGCAGACACCGTTTTTCCACTCCTCAGGTCAAGGTCTGAAGATTCCCCGGAATTCCCCGAATTGCAACATCCCCCAAGAGGTCGCGGCTCCCGCCTTCCCGTTGGAAAATCCATGAAACTCCGTTCTCCACCGGATTCACGGTTTTTCAGGAAAACCTCGACCAAAAATGACCAGGGTAGGCACTGGCCGCCGGAATCGGACCGCGGAGGGGTTTCCCTTCGAAAAGAGCAAGAAGACCGTGGTGATCACCGGCGCCTCCAGTGGTTTGGGCCTCCAAGCCGCCAAGTCTTTGGCCCAGCAGGGCTGGCAGGCGGGGAGAACACCGGCGTTCCGAGCACCGGCGTTCCGGGGCTCCGGAAAAATAACGGAGCAGCAGGTCTTTGGAGTGTGTCAATGGGATGGGCGTTGTAGGGTTTGATTCTAGGGGTTTGATATTAATACAAAGAGACCTGTTTATGGGCCATGGATGGGGTGCTTATAGTCAAGGGTTTGTGGGCGTCTGATATAATTACCTGTTCCATCATGATATGCTTAGAGATTGTGCCTTTTCTGAACATCAGGATGGGCGGCACCAAAGTCACTCCCTGTGGTCTGCAATGGTGGAGGTGAAGTGCTACCTAAGCCGGTCTGGCTGTACATGGATCGGCGAGTCTTGAGGTTTCTTCAAAAGTCCGGAAACACCAGATGCTCCAGAGGGTTCTGAAGGAAACCATTTGCTAAAAATGATCTTTCAGATTGACCAGCGGCGGAATGAAATCAACCCCTTGCAAATTGGTGTGGGTTTGGAAGTTTTGAAGACGCCCAGCCGCTCCGCGTGATTCAATCTTCTTTGTGCCCACACCTGGCAATCCAAAATGTCCAGCGTGGTCCCTCAAGCTCCTTGCGACCGACCTCTCCGAGTTGAAAAGGATCCAGTTCTGGCTGAACAGCACATTGAACCCCACATTGAGAACGGAGAACCAAGCTTTTTGGTTGCCAACTGTTGCTTCCTCCCAGTTCCGTCCTTTTTCTCCGTTGTTTTGTCCTCCCATCTCCTTACTGAAGAGGGACCGAAACTCGCTGCGGTTGCACGTGAGGTGATCATGGCATGTCGGGACTTTCAGAAAGCTGACACTTGGATTGAATCAATGGATTGCTGCGTGAGGAAAAAATTGATCTGCCCGGCCCCATTTTGGTGTTGACATGCGTTGATCCTATCACCAATCTATGATGGATATGTGGCACATCGAAACAACAAGGGTAGGCATCTTCCCATCCCATCCCATCCCCACACCTTGCATTGGAGGATGTGGTGTGGGAGCCATCAATGGCGAGGCGCCCAAAACGCCGCCGGACCGGACCGGTACAAAACCACCAGTGCTTACTTGGGAGCTAAGACGGGACCCCTGAGAATGGTGCCCACACTGAGGAATTGTTTTTCCTCTTAACCAGTCTAAACAGCGGTTGTCAAGGGCCAGTTCGTTCTTCCGGGGAAGTACTTGCATGACTTGTACATGGTGCTCTCTTCCATGGCCTACTTTTCACCCTTGCACCCGTAGAGTTACAAATCCCCAAGGGTGACAAGACATCGCCACATAGTACAGCGACATCCACAACATCGGGACACGGGGCGGCCGGTGGACACAATGGATGTCAGTCTGATAGTCCGATCCCGCCGCAACTTGAAGATTGCTTGGAGCATCCATGAATGGGATGTCCAATGGACGACCCGGGTTATTCTCGGTTTATGGATGTTTATGGGTGTTGATTGGACACCTCGAACGGATGGTCCAGGTAGCAAATGAACTGATCATCTCAAAGCCAAGGAGAAGGCTGCCAAGGAGGTTGGCATGGATCCAGAGAACTACCAGGCGAGTCCGACGGAGGTTTCCTTGAAGATCTCTGACTATATACTGCCGGACTGAAAGTTAGCGGCTCTACGATTGTGGCTTAGAATGTGTGTCTCATTTTCCTACACCTAGAATTCGTCCAATGCCCCAGTGTTTTGCATCAAATGAGCTCTATACAGTGGTTGAAGTTCCCTCAAAACACTTCAACAATACAGATTAGCCCAGGTACGCCCCAATATATTTTTTTAGACACGTCTTAGGTACGCCACAATGTGCTGGGAGGCATTCTAAGTGGTAGCGAAACCCTAGAATCCCCACCCCCTGGTAGGCATTCTATCTTTCAGTCCGTCGGTATATCCAAAACTAACTTGAACCACACATGAGTTCAAGATTGAGATCCAGCAAGAGATCGAGCCCCTCTTCTAGTGCGGTTTGTACAACAGTTGGTATTTTGTATCTTGGGTTGTAATTGAAACCCACATATTTTGGTGTGATTGAAATCCTACCACCTCCCACCTCGGGGTTTTGGGGTGAAGACATAGCAAGACTATGCAAGGCTCTGGTTATGCAAGCGTGTCACAAGTCGTGCCGTTCCTCCACTCTTCATCTTTGTTTGAGGGCCTTAATGGACTCTGAACATCTTTTTTTTACATTAATGCCGCCTTCTCTTGTATGTGGGAGCCACATCCATGGCCATATCCATCCAAATAGTCTCACATCTTCATTCTTCCACCAAAACATCACACAACATCCCACCATCACCGCGCCTCGCGGTCCAGGTGATTCACTGCGATTTGGCCAGCAAGCAGAGTGTGCGGAACTTCGTGCAGACCTTCCGAACGATGTACAACAGCTTGGATGCGCGAACGGGACCCGCAGGGCGGAGGGCGGAGCCCGTGTCGGTTTTGTCATCGTCGGCCGGTCGCTTCGAACGGTTATGATTGGGGCTTGCTGTTCGCTCGTTCACTGGTTGCGAGTACTTTTGAGTCAGGCTCGGATGCACAAGAAGCTTTGGTCTTTCACAAGGATATCGATTTGTAGGATATGCGTTGCGTCCAAGATGGAAATTTGCGTCATAGTCCATCGATCTACCTACCAAGTATCCATCAATCCATTAATCGCACTGTGTTTTTGCCGGTAATATGTTGTTATTTACCTAAGATATAATAATATATTTATGGTTTGTCTTTAGTTTTACAGATGCTATATGGCTATGATAATATACTAACATTGTTGATGTTTGTGTATACATTTGTCTATCGATTCATATCACTTGACTTCGTGTGTCCCTTCGTTGTTTGACAAAGTTGAATTCAAGACAATGGCTCCCGTCAAACTCCACGGCAGACAACCTACAAAGATACTAAAATGAACCAGTTGCTGCCAGTTCACAAGGCATTTTTTCCTACTAGCCCCCAAAGGCAAAACTCCTGGCTGATAACAGCCCACTACTGTTGACCTGCGAAAAAGAAGAAAGACACCCCTTTCTCCGGTGCACCGTCCTTCAGATCGGTCTTTTTTCCATCGTCACCGACCGGGTCGAAAGGCCTTGGTTTGCAACGCGGCCGTCTACTTCCCCAACACCCACAAGGCCGCGGCGACTCCGCCGGAACGCGGCGGTTTTGGGTCCGGCACAGTAGGAGTGGTGACCGTGGACCCTCTGTGGGGTGACCGTTTTTCTAGTGTACACAGTAACGAAGTGGGTTTGGGGGGTCACCTTGCATGTGTTCAGCAACACCGTTGTTTCAATTTTTAAGATGAGTTTGCCAGGTGGGGGGATTGTGGCTACAAGGGGGTACTGAACACAGACATTGTGCTTTATCAGGAACAAGCTTTGAATCTCTTGATCTCTTCTGCTGCAGGAGGGCGTCATTTTGCCGGGTCTCTTCCCGGGCGGCGGCCCTCGTTGGAGTGCCGAAGGCAGGCCACGCAGGATTTATGCGGTGCAGCAAGAGCTTGTTGGGCCGATGCTAAAGGTGGGGTGGAAGAAAGAGTCCGCGTTGGATTCCAACCCTTCATTCAAGGGTCCTCCCCAAACAAGCATGTTGATTCAAGCTTTTTGGGCTACAAAACTCGTGAAAACCAGGTCAACCTGTCTTTGAATGGCCTTTTAAGGCTAGGGTATGGATTGGATGAGCAAGTGTTGGATGCCTATGCTCGACGTTGTTGAATGAAAAATTGATGCATGATTCATGATGTGTCCTATAGGGCTCCAAGTGGCACCCATCGCTACTGGACGAAAACGGAGCTTTTCTGGAGCCCAATACAGGTTATAGCAATGACCCTTGGCAAGTCCGATCTTTCGAGATGTACAGCAGTCCGCAGTCGTCCTGAAAGGAACCGACATTGATCGGGAAACGTAAAAGGAACAAGAGGAAGAACGATGGAGAAATTGGAAAAAAGTGATAAAAAGGGATACCCCTTACTACTAGCGTCCTTGTTACTACTAGTAAGGCACTTGTTACTAGAAGCGATGCACTTGTTCCTACTTTGCTTCCTTCCAAGAAACCACTCCTTTTGGTACCGCACCTGGAACCCAAACATCGAACCTGTCGCACCCCAACGGTTGCACCAGAAGCAGTCGACCCGACCGCAGATCGTGTGTATTCCAGCGGTTGATAGACGCAAAAACACACCAGTCGCCAGTCACCAGAAGTTGCGTCGCTTTGGCGGGGTGACTGGTGGTCGCAGGCCATCGGGTCGGACATCGCTTCAGGCCATGAGATGAGCTTCGCAGCCAACTACCTGGGTGGGCTTGGCAGTGAATCACTGGGCTGGGGAGATGAAGAAGAAGATAGGAACTAGAAGACCCCACGGGGTGGTTCATGGACACCCCTTACATCTCCTTACTTGGCACCCCGAAAAGGGTTTTCTGGAACAGATTTTGCTTATCATTGGATTTTCGCGGTCTTTTCAATGGATACAGATGGAGATAGAAGACTTGGCTATCAAAAGGGCCAGGGTACAATTGTTGAAGAATCCTGAAATATGTCATTCCCTGGGCAGTCCGGGAAATTGAACCCTTCGCCATGTCCAACACTCCATTGGAATCCATGGGTTAAATCACTATTTGTCCACTATTGTCCATGTTTATTTTTCGACAGATCCAATTTATCGTTTATCGTGCATGCGAAAGCTGGAATTTGAAAGAGGACATGTTGTTGTTCTACTGCCGCTTTCAAGCAGAAACGTCAACTAATGACTAATGGAATCAAAGTATATCAAACCTGTAAGAATTGTTTGAGAGTTGTTTTATGTTGCTTCCGAATCCTCCCAGAAGTTAGGCCTATTATCTCAGACTCTTTGATGATCGAAAACCCTCCTAGACTCTTAGACTCCAAGAGCAGCTCGTTGGTTTACTACCATTCATGTGGAAATGTCAGTCCTGATGATCAAGCAATTTCTCCACTTAGACTTGGCCAAGGGATCTACCCAACCGACATCCACTTCGTCCACGGCTCAGCGACTCATCATGTTCGGAGATTTGCTGAACCGATGCGACCAAAGATCGCGCGACAACCTGCTCCCAGGTCATTTCCTCCTCTGCAAGCTTTTGCTGGAGGTCTAGCTTGCGAAAGGGTCATGGCCATGTCATTCCCCCCTGCCCCAATGAAGCCTTCATAAAGCCCAACGAAAAAGGGGGCTCAGATAGACTATGAGTTGGGGCATATTGTTTGTTCACTCAAGGCGGCAGGGCGGCTGACCAGGGCCCCTGTCGTCGAAACAGGTGCATCGCATGGTGAAACATCGTCATATTAAAGTAGACTGCTTAATATACCCTCCATATGAATGAAGAACTGTTCTGAACTAAATCGGGCGGTTATTAATCAAGAGTCTACAATAGTCTACATTAGATGGATATAGATGGATCACTTAAGATTGTTATCCAAGTACCAGCCAACTGGCTTCCCCAAGGCCAGCCCCAGCATTTTGAGGTTACGAGTTGGGTTTTGGGGGGTGTTCACCTAAGTTTACCTAGTGGTTGCAATGCTGCATCCAATTCGTACTTGATGCAGCATAAAACCGTTGACATTTGTTCTTGATGCAGCATAAAACCGTTTACTTGTTGGGTGAGCGTTAGGAATGTCAGTGATCAGTGTCCTGTTCAGTTGTTTGTTGCTCTTCTGCCAGCTCATTATCAACAAAGTACGCCAGCGGTCAAGTAATTTGCCATCCATGAAAGCCAGATACTTCGAGGAGCGCATGTAGGAGTTCTTCCGGGAGAGTCATTCGGGTCACACCTCAGTCATTCGGGACAAAGCACCGTCGACTCTGTAACTGGAGTGCTTAGTTCGTAAGGACATGTAAGGACTATAATATATGCATCAGATTGTATCATCTAAATCTTCAACATCTTCCGAACTCATGGTATGGAAAGAATGAACACTGCTACTACCGACCCTTCGTTGTTGCACATCCCAGGGTCGGCCGTTCCCTGATCTCCGAGCCAGGATTTGAAGAAGAGCAGCTTCAGTGCCCCCCGCTGCGTGATTTTGGGCACGGTCACCGCCACGGTGAACGGTGCAGGGCTGGGTGGCATGATTCCGCCCTTGGCGCATGTGGGGAACTTCGAGGGCTTGGACCCTTGGATTGTGCAAAAAGGTGCGCTGGAGTTGGTGACCCTTGGTCATGTCCAGTGGGATTGAGAATGGTTTCTGTGCATTGGAAGCATGAGTGTGAAAAGTCGATCATGAGATCATGATGAGGATCATCACCAGTGATGATTGTTACAGTATGTCTACTGTATCATGTGCATGTTTTGCTGTGTGTACAGTTTGGTGATGTTGTGGGGGTTTCAAGGCTGTTGTAATTTAGTAGTAGTGATTTGGGGATTGCTCATCCTCCAATTGGTGCTAGGCGGTCAAACATACACCTTACAGCTGTGACGCTAGTTCGAAACTAAAACGGACCTCCGTGTGCAGAGGAAGGACTCAAGAACAGATCCAGCTGGGGGTGTGCCGCAAACTCCAAAAAGGGGGTACACCGGGTAAACCCAGCCGCATTTACAATCCCGCCCAACGGAACCCTGGCAGCCCAACGGTACACCAACGAATCCACCCACGAAGTGAACTCAAATGGATCCATAGGGGCACCGCTGATGAGTGAAACATCCAAGGCAACACAAGCCAGTCGCTGTTGGTCTCCAAAGTTTGCCCACAGGACATACACGAAAAGACGAACACGTCAGTGTCGTCAGTGCTTCCCCACCCTGATTCCCCACCCTGTTTGGTCTTCGGAACAGCATCTTCCCAGGAAACCGGTTTCGGGGATGCTGCGAGCCATGAGCCAGTAATGAATTTGCAAACCTCTGGCATGAAACATAAAACCTTGAAAGTGCCTCATGTACAAAGCAGGGGTTGAAAGGAAGTTGACCCTCCGACGAACACATCACATGGTTACGTGGATGGCATGGACGGAAGTGGATGGTTTTTCCCTCTACGACCAGGGTGGGGAAACTACGATTCCGTGTGATGTGTCCGGAGTGTAGCTGATGGACTGGATGCGGGATTCCGGCTTGGGTGCCTTCTCCTTGTGGTCTTAGGAGAAGGGCATGAAGGCCGGCGAGAGGAAACGGGGGGAACGACACCTGCACCACCAGGACTACGGCCACATGTGCAACTTGGGGATGGACACTTGATGGACACGCCTCAAAACGGGATAAATAAGAAATTGTTACTTATTAGACTATCTTAGACTCGATCTGTCTCGACTATCCAAAGGGTGTCCAGCAACAACCCTTTAGATGGTCCTCGTATGTTTGGTGCTCGAAGAATCCCCGCATCACACGAACTGCTTGGCGGGATGCTTTTGCCAAGCATGGATGCTATAAACTGAGTGGGTCTGAATGTTGGTAGCAGCCAGCTTCACTGGTCACACAACAGCGATACCGGGCTGTCAGGCCATGTCAGGCCTGTGTCATTTCCTCAACAACCATGGAGCTTGGATCCCTCCACCGGTCCGCTCGCATTCGCTCCCTCCCCAGGGAGGCAGCTGACTTACCTACCTGCCTTCACAAACGCCATTCTTTCCAAGTGCTCCTCTACAACTGGCACATCAATCTTCACCAACAATGGCTGGACTACCCAAACACGACACATAGGGCGTTAAATACGACCTACGTTCACCCAAAAACCGCCCCGTCATTAAAGGTCATAGTGTGAGGATGTTTCAGGTATACACCCATGGCCCATACCCATGCCGCATGCCTAATCAAATCCGGGCCCCTCAAATGGATTCCGGGGCTTTGAGATGTTTTGAGGGTCTTTCCTTTCCGAAATCCCCGAATCTGCAGTGGTGAAGTCCTTCGGTGACGATGTCAGGCCCCTGTGACCATGCTCGATGGCGGCGCCTTTGATGGTGCCAAGGCCGCTTCAGCCGGGGGTCCGCCGGGTCAACGACCGCCGGTCAAAGGGGTTCGGGGACCGGTTTGAGGGTTGTAAAAATGATTAAAAATGAACATTGTCAAAGGCAGTGCCATTGGCCCATTGGTGATGAAGTGAGAGAAATGCCTACTGTATGTAGCTAGATTTGAGGGGCGCCCGAGCAGACAGGTTGTTTGGGTGCTTTGCATCTCCAGCACAGGAGTTTGTACTTTTGCTCCTCCATATGCCTTTCCCGTCCAAACTTGAGGTCAAGGCTGATATGAGGCTCTCCCAGTGGCTCTCAGGCATACAAGGACAGCAAGGTCTGTGACGTCATGTTGATGAAGGAGCTCCACAAACGCTACCACAAGGACCAACGGGCTTCACCCGTCTCGTCAGCTTTTCCAGGCAACCAGCCCCATGTTGGCTGCGAACCCTTCGGACCATTTGTCGGACCTGTTGAGTGTGTGTGTGTGTGTGCGTCGTCGGAACACGGTCTCCTCGGCTGGCTGGAAAGGATCCTTGGTAGAACAGAAGAACGTGTTTTTGGCTCGAAAATGCAGCGGAGAGTTCTTTCATGTTCTTTGATGCCACCAAAAAAGACGAACGTACACTCCGGTCGACGACTCAGTAACGTGGGGGTCTTGCGAAGGGACATGGAAGTGGAAAATGACTCCCTCTAAAAGAAGGAGTGGTCCACGCATGAAACAGGAGTTGATTTGAATTGTGCTCCTTTGCCTTCGTCCAAACGGAGAACGTCATAATGCCATGAATGGACGGTGTTACCAAAGTTAAAGCAAACACTGAAAGAATCGGAAAAAACCTACAAGGACCCTGGGCTTTTCATGACCAATTGGAATCCTTGATGCCGAAATTTTATATACATCCCTCACTTTTGGCAAGAGTCATGAACCTTGTTTTATAGAGGAAGTTACGATTCCCCATATCCCCCACTGGCTGGTGATCAGTAATTTCACAGCTTCACCTCTAACAAACAAACACCATAGCTGAAGGCAAGACTAATACCATGTAAGACCATGAGGGCTCCGGCCTCATGATGCAGCATGACACTCCTTTGCCAGCTGCGTTAAAGAGGAGACGGGCATCGTGTTCACCTCCCTCTATCCGGGATGCATCGCCGAGACGAACCTCTTCCGGGAGCACTATCCGCTCTTCCAGAACCTCTTCCCCGCGTTCCACAAGACTGTCACCAAGGCAATGAACCCCAGAAACAAAGTGGCTGTGGGTCGAAACCAGGATACCTTGATTGACGTACCGACATCAAACTGTCTTCTGTTGTCAACCACTGTACCACTTTGAAGATGTCATTGATGGTGATCTCAAGATTGAATATCCTGTGGAATCTGGTCGGCAAAGCTGTATGATCTGACGGAGGATCATCAATGTGCTGATATGATAGGAAGGCCTGAAGACCTCCTTGATGAACTGGAGAGGCAAGTCGTGTACCGCCAACATCTGCAGACACATGAAAAAAATATCAAGTGCGCAGGTAAGATGATCATTGCGGAAACCTGGTGGCTGCACAAGTGATGGAACATGAATGTTCACATCAATCCCACAACTGCCTACTTGGGAATTACACAATTGGTGAGGTTGGTCAAATATGTCTGAGAGCTTTGGCTCCAGAAAATGCTTCTGAACGATCAAATGTGCATGGGGAATGAAGACGGATGATACTGCAGAGAATGAGTCTGTGGACCTACACTGCATGAGATCCCAGATCACCCTCCATAACTGGTTGTCTGAAATGATCGTCAGGTCAGTCTTCATCACGTTGTTGTGAACACAATTGATATAGTGTAAAGATTCGAATATCTGTTTCGGAAGTAGTCGGGCATCGAGCAACATCTTGATCTCAAAAAGGGATATCTCTTCTGAACTCAAACAGTGACTCAACACTGTTGCTGCAGCTTCATTGCTCAACCAGGAGTCCACTCTGTCCCTGACAATGGGATTTTGATTCGCAGGAGGAATTCGGACATCTCGTAGGGTGCATGTCCCAGATCGACCGTTCCGTTGTGGAAAGTGCGAAATCTGAGTAAACAGCCTACAACTGCGATTCACCTCCACCAATGTCAACGGCAAATCTTTGTCTTCTGCAAAGAGCGTCTGTAGCAAAAGGGCAAACACAATGACATCACGTCGAAATTGTTCGCCTCGTAGCCACACTTCATTGTCTCCATGGGCAATGAAAAAGCAATACCATGCAAACTGGAGCTCGATGGCTCTGCAAGTACTGAAAGCTGCTGGTTCTCCCAAATTAGAATCATCTTGGAAATCTTCATTGCCTGCAGATCGATCAGGCCAGAGGGGATATACCTTGTGCGAAATGCTGTCATATACCACGTCGATGGTATCCCACAACATCACCTGGTTCCAAAGATCCTTATGCAGCTTAACATGCCGGATACCCAGCGATGCCAAAGTCACCTCAACAATGACATAGTCATGACACTCCAGCAAGAGCTGCCGCACATGGATCTCACCCTGACTGAACCCCCTATATCGAAGCATGGACCTGCTGGAAAGATATCGATGAGATCTCCATTCACCGGACATGTTCCCTGCCATGGCCCAATCCGCACGGGAAACCCGCAACGGCCACGCCATGCGTGTCACCAAAACACGCTGTGGGCTTGAGCCTAGTGGCTTTGGTTAACGTACCTTGGAGGTCAAGCTACATGGTGATGGGGCTCCAGGTTTTGACCCACAGCCAAGTAAACCAGGAGAATCAAAAGGAATCTGCCAGGATGACCCAGTTTGGATGGTATTTTTCCGATGGTAAGCATATGGTCAAGGAGATGGTACATGCTGGTATCTCCCTGCTAAAGCAGTGAACTAGGACCAGGATGTTCCACTCGGTCTGGTCCCTGAAATCCTGTAGGCTCCATAAATCTCACCCGTTACATGATCGATGGACAAACCAAATAGATCGATGGACACATCTCATCAACCCGACGCCAGCGGACCGGACCGCTAAACTCGGAGGGCCGGTTTGGACGAAGGTTGGGCATTCCACAGATATCTCAATGCTTTGTCCCCTTTGGAGGAGTGGCATTCTAATCTTTGAGCTACACATGCCTTTGACTAGTGGCACCAGTTGAGCGTTGAGCTGGGACTGAGAACAGACTCATACGTCCAGCATTAAGGCACCAAAGGCTGGAATTGAGTAGGGTCCCTGCACACAAAATGTGTACTGTATCCATCCGGGTGCACGTCAGGCATCATCTCAGAGCAGTTTCACCCTAAAAAGTGAAACATCGGCAGGGTCCGGTAGGGCGGCTCGAGAAAAAACTGTCGTTTGCATTCACTACCACATGTGGGTTGTTTCTTCTGAGTGTGGCCGGCTTTCGTGCTTTTCACTGTAAGACCGAGTCGGATGCATCCTACAGGTACAGTCAGCGGAGGTCCCCTCGGTCACAGGGGTCACCCTTGGATCCACTCCGCCCACCCGAACGAGCTCATGACGGCGCTGTGCGCCAGGCGTACGTGAGCCAAGAGGAGGCTGGGCAGCGTTGCTGGGCAGAGTTGAATCAGTGTGAAGGGCGCAGGGAATCCACGAATGGACGAATGGAGGAACTCGAACTTGGGAACAAAGGAGTTTGAGGTTGTTCAAACAAGGAGCTGTTCAGAGCTACAGTGAGTTCCGAACCCCTTGCTAGATTGATTAGGGGGGCCACTCAAGTCACGAGAAAGATGTTTTTCTCTACCTGAGTCACTCGCCTCGGGAATCTGAAGACTTGGGAATCCCATGCAATTAGGTTTGGGTATGTCCAGTGCGGCAAAAAGGGGCGGTGGCACCACATCCTTTGGCTCTTAAAAGCAAAAGATCCTGGCAATCTTCGAGTGACCATGTTCGATCGGTGGCGAGGGGTGTATTCTTTTTGGAGGCAGTACTGCTCAATAACATTGAGCCTGGTCTTTATCAGGATGTTACTTGCGTGTTCGAACTAGCGTCCTGGTTGGTCAGGAACGAACCTGTTTTTCTGTTGGGATTCATGATTGCACCCTGACCTGCTTTTGAGAAACTACGGATAGGCAAGCGTGCGGCAGGCATGGAACCAACATGCATCACAGCCATATGTTACACCGCAAAAATCCGCAAAACATACCTTGTCTCTAGGACAGTTCAGTGTTATTCAAAATGGAACGCAAATGAGCAGGTTTGGAGCCCATCAAGGGTATGTTGTCCAGAAATTGATCCTCCCATGCACTTTTCCTGGAAGAAAGAGAGGCACTCAAGACTCCTAGCTGAAATCCCAAGTGGTTGCCAAAAGAACAGCCTTTGGATTTCCAGCCAAGAGTCCTTAGGAGGGACAAGCATGTAGCATAGGAGGGTGGAGTCCTCGCTGGGAAGCAACAATCAGCTTGGGTTTCTCAGTCTAAGGCTTGGCTGCCTGCGTGGCGGATGAACGCTATGGTACCAGTGGCAGCTACTATTCCTGGGAGGGCGAGGCGGGGCCGGTTCCGCAGCGAGGTCCCGCAGCGGGGGTGTGCGCCAGTCGGACGAAACGAACTGCAATAACTATACTGTAATTGTTTCTATACATGAGTTACATCCCAACATATCCCCTTCCTTCCCAGGTCAACCCCAATGATACTTGCCAGCGCAATACACCCAGCGCCACCCAGCGGCCCAATGTTTGAAGCCGCCGCATCGGACGCGCGGGAGGCCGGCACGGGCGGTGGTGGCGGCCGCGAGGCAGTGCAGAACACCGAGAAGGACTGGGGTCAATGGGGTCACGGTCCGTCCTCGGGTCAGCGAGATGGGCCAGATATGGCTAGATTGAGTTGGTTGGAGGAGGTTGGAGGGTGAACATTGGAGAATTTGCTGGGTCAATGAGTGAGAAGGACCCGAGATTCCAACTTTCTGGAACTTCTGGTTGTATACTTATTCTATATTTAACATTATATTTAACTATATTTACATGTTGTAAATAGGAGTTTGGGGCAAAGACTATTGTAAGTAGACTCCTCACATCACCCGAGAAAACCCGCTGATCCGGGTCCGTATCTCTTGGAGCGAACCCAACGGCCCAGTGCAGACGGTCTCCACTCGGCACCGACTTGCGAAGAAGAATGCACTGGCCGTGGATCTCATGCTACAGGGACATGGTGTGAAAAGCATTGCAAAGCTAAGGGATCTATAGTGAAGATTCATTTCTTCAACTCATTCTACTAAAGAACTTTGTTTGTTATGTGCCTTTCAAAACATGTGGTCTCCTGCTTGAACGGAGCATCCGGGCCCGGCGAGTTCAGAACATCCAATTTCTCAGGTTGAACTTTAGAGAAGACAAGCTTCAACATCCGAAGCAAAGAAAAGAACAAAGATCACAAAGCGAAGACATCTATACCTGGATCATATATATATATAAAGAGCAAAATAAAGAAAGAAAGAAAGAATGCTCCAGCATCACCCTCCAACCTTCGTCCCTGGCGGTAAGTTCTCTCACTGGTTCGGCTCGCCAAGTCATGGAAGTCGTTTGGGTGTGTATTAAAACGCATGTTCTTCCGCTTGGCAAAAACTCAGCGTCACAGCGGTCCAATAGACACATCACATGAAAGAGGAACACCTCCTATTGACACAGGAACATTGATGAGTAGTTATTGTGAACACAGTCGTAGGTCTTCTCATACCTGGATCTTCAAACGGCACTATTTTTTGCCGGAGGTATTGTTCAGTGAAAAGACACCGTAATCAAAAAAGCTTGCCGTTTTTGGAAGTTCATGGACGGGGAAAGATGCCGTTTGGACGCCTGAAGACGCCGTTTGGAAGCCTAAAAACGCCGTTTCTTTTTGGTGTTTGCCGGTTTCCGCTGGTCACAACAAAAAGCGCCGTCTTTGGAAAAAGACACCGTAACGGCATTTCATCTTGAAAAGGCAATTAGTTGTGCCGTTTCAATAATCCTGGCATGTTCTCAGGGACCATTTTTGACTTCCATGTAATGGGTATAGGAGTGTAAGGGGTTGGTTGTACATGGGCAGGGTCAAAGCACGACCACCTTGGTATTAATTGACATTTGCTCGTACATTGCAACAACGACAAAGACACACCAGGTGCTTGAGAGGTTGCGATCACCCAAGTGTGTAGAACCAATGGTCTACATGGTACCACTATGTACCAACCAACCCCTTTCAAATTCCTTCCAAGTGACGTTCTACGACGTTCTCCATCGGACCAAACTGCCTTCACCTGTGCCTGCCCTTCTCGCTGTTCTCGGTCCAGCCGTCTCAGGACCTCGACTGGTTCATGAACTACGGGAGCTTCCGTACCCTGAGCATCGACGAGATCGGCGGCGAGGCGGCGGACGACCAGCGCTGCAGCGCCTCGGTGCTGTCCGTTCTTGGGGAGAGAGAAGGAGGAAGGGAAGGAGAAGAAGCAGAAGCTGCACCAAGACAACCACAAGAGCTTGGGATTCCAAGACCCATCCAAATCCTTATCAGATGAAGTGGGAGAGAAAGAGGAAGCTGCAACATAGGGCCGTCTTGGCAGCTTGGCAGGTGATGGTTTCAGCATGAAAAGAGGTGGTGGGCCACCCATCAGCATTTACATGTGGTTTACATGCGTTTACAATAGTGGCATAGCGTTTACAATGTGTTTGTGGTTCCGAGTCTTTGATGCCTGCCCTTTGCTTTTGCAGCACAAGGGTTGTGTCTTTTGGAGATCTACCTCTTTCTCAACAAAATTAACATGTGGGCACTTCAACCATTGGGTCATTCCTTAGGCAGTATCAACATTGATGAAACCAGACAAAGCTGGGTGTACGCGTGGATAGCAAGGCGTAGAGGAGGGTGTGTTCAGCAATTATTGATTTAGGCATTGGATTTTAAGGACAAGACAGTCGAAACACAACGCCAACCCTAAACCCATGTTCCGTTTTTAGCTTTGCAGAAGATGCTTGGGCTGCAGCTGCTGGAACCTATCACCAAAAGGATCGCAAAAGGGGTTTTTGTACGCTTCCGATTTCCCATTCCCGGGGTGGCACAATCAAAACCTACATTTGGCCCAGTCCCATGGGACTCATTGACCAGGGTAGTTGACTCATTTGACCCATGGTAGTTGACTCATTGGGCTCAGGGTCAATGCAATGTAAAATATGATCATCAGTTGGTGGTCAAAATACGATGGGGGTAGCCGACCCTCACTGGCAGCTACAACCGGCGATAAATATGCCATTCATGGTCCGACTACGGTTTTTACGAGAGTCTTCGTGAAATCCGACGGTCGGTGTTCTCGGTCTTACTTGCCCGCAAGGTGCGTGTTGCGGGTGACACACAGCTACAGTCGGGAAGAGACCCACATGGAACCCGAGAATATCTGAAAATGGACCTTTGGAAGAAGAATGTTTCCTCCACAAATGCGCGTGGTTTTAAAGTTCCGGGTGTACCGGTCACCTAGTAGCGTCCTTGTTCCTAGTAGCGATGCCAGGAGCCCCTAGTAGCTTCTTGTTCTTAGTAGCTTCTTGTTCCTAGTAGTATGGCCAGGAGCCCCTAGTAGCGTCCTTGTTCCTGCGCATGTGGATGGAATTCCCGCCAAGGCAAGCTGTGGGAACTCTCCGAAAAGCTGGTGGCCTAGGACGTCGAACTCGGACGTCGAACGCAGCGGCTTGGTTGAGGAGTGGGTGGCCAGGAGATGCGGGGGCGGAGGGAGATTGGTGTAGAATGGTGTAGATTGCTTGGGTGGGGCAGTCATAAATTTGTAGCTGAAAGTTATATGATGATGGCACATGATGACGATGTTCCATCCAGATAGAATGTGAATCTTTGTTTGACTGGTTGGGCCACGCGTAGATCAGGGAAAAGCGGAGCTGGACTCGTTGGTGCGGACTTGGAGGTCCGGCACCGTTGGCCGCGCTTCTTGTCACCTCGAGGTTCGGTGCTTGTTTCTTTCAAGTCCCACTTGGTCCGGTGGAGCTGCTCGGTCCAATTGTCCACCCAGGTAGCTGCAAGAAGAGCATTTCTTCTTGCGAATGGAAGTGCAGCGACACGTATAGTGCAACTTGTACATATATATATATATACCATATGTACTTTGGCTCAAGGATCAAGCGACTAGAAAAGGTGCGGTTTCCGTTCCGACGCTACGCCGCTTATGGACCGTCAGTGATAGCTTCAAACTTCGCTGATTAAGATCCACTCGCAGGTTATCAGCCGTACGCGCTCTTTATAGCCGTACGAGCTACACGAGACCAAGAACAAGACTAGTCATTACAGAAACCTGCAATGTCAAGCTCAGGAGGAAATGGAAGCGAACCCTATTCATTCGCTGCTCCTGGTGGTCCCAACACCATTTCGTCACCAGACTCTACAATGGGTACTGATTCATCAGCAAATGCTGACGTTATCACTATGCCTACTGGATCACAAATCTCGGAAAGATCCGTGCCACCGGCTCGGAATCTGACCGATCTTGCACCCGTAGGACCAAGAAGATCGATGAGAGCTACAACAAGATCTACATCGCCTATAACGTCTACCGCGAGATCCCCAAGAAGGAGTATAGAGAAGAGACGTGACGATGATAGAGGAACAAAAGAGCAAAGAAGAGAGATTCAGCTGGGTGAAGAATTGAGATCGGCGAGAAACGCATACAATTTTCTTCATGAAGAATATGAATGCATCCAAGCCGGATACTCACGACTACACCACGAGGCTGAAGTGGAGTTCAGGCAAATGTCTGACTACAACAGGAAGATGCAGGAACATCTACAAAAGATGACACAGGAAGATGAAGGAGCGACAATAAGAATTGAAGAGCTCGAACACAAGCTACGCTTGGCGGAATCGACAGCTGAACATATCTACATGAGATATCAAGAGCTTGCACAAGAAACTCATCAAGAACATTCAGAGCTTGAATCTGTGAAAGCAACGAAGGACAGAATGTCCCAAGAGCTTCAAGCAGCAATTGGACACATCCAAGAACAGAATGAATCTTCATTGGCGATCAATAGAAGATCAAAAGCCATTCAGGATGAGAACACAGCCTTCGTCGGAATAGCTGACCAGATACAAGCTAGAATGATTGCGCTACAGGATGAGAATGTCAACATGCACAAGGTGATCCAACACCAGAGAGAAGAACAATGGAACAGTGAGGTCAGGGAAAGACGTCTTCAACACAGTGTTCACTCATCTCAAGATCAGAGCAATCAGGAAGCTATGGTTATTGATCATCTACGAGGTCAACTAGCTATGGCACGTGGAGCTGAACTCAACGCGAGAGCGGAGATAGAAGAGATGGAAGTGGGCATGAGGATGGAGATATTTGTATGCCAGACTGAAGTCTCTGCTAAAGAAATGGCAGAAATGAAGGCGAGCCACCATGAATACGAAGCAAACGTCGCAAAGGAGGTTATCGCAAAAGGAGAAATATTCAACAACGAAGTCCTAGAAGGTTCCATCCGTGAACGACAACAGTTGAAAGACGCCAACCTCGCTCTATCCGAAGCCAACGCACAGCTGAAAAGAGAGAATATGATGAGAGCTCCTATGTTCGGCGATGATGGTGCTGAAATTCAACAGAAGATCAGAGAACTGGAGAATGCACTATTGGAAAGCCAGAAGGAGACAAAGAATGTCATTATGGAAAATGCGAAATTAAAAGCAGAAACACGAATGGCACCCATAGTCTCTCGGTACAGCAAGCGTCCTAGTTCCAGAGACCGCGGGTTACCAACCCACGCGTCCGAGGAAGATGAGATTCGGAACGCAAAAGAGGAGGCGAAGCACTACAAGGACGGGTACAATAAAATGACAGAGAGCCGAGATGAGATGTATGAATGGTATGCCGAAACCCACAATGAGTACGCCGAGGAAAGGGAGAAATCAATTGAGCTATCCGAGGCGAACAAATCATTGAGGGACAAGATTTCAGAAGCAGAAGCATCCTCTTCATCTCATCTTGCACCGGCAACCTCTACAATCATGAAAGTATCGAGGAAGGAAGAATCAAAGATAAACGTTCCGTCATGGCCCAGGATCAATGATCTTGGACTATGGAAGGCAAATCTCATTCAATCGATCATCATTGCGGCCAATGATTCAGATCAAGAGCCCTGGATCGACTGGATCAAAGAAGCCATGGACGATCCTGATCCGGACAAGTTTGTCGACTCAGGAGACCAAAGATTCCATTCAATCGATGCCAAACTCGGCCTAGCTCTTACCAAGGTCGTCATGGATGCGAAAGATGATGGTTCAGGTGTAGCTATGAAGTTGAGGACGAGGATCAATGCAAAAGGGAGAACATCAAGCCTCATAAAGGGAAGAGAGGTCCTAGCCCTGATCCTTATGAATTTCAAGACAACATCAAATGTGGAAGTCTTATATACTTCAATGCACCTCTACCAACTAGAATATCAAGGAGACAAGAACTTATCGTTGTTCTTCCACACTTGGGATGAGATTCTGGCAGGAATGAAGCCCGTTGACGTCCCGAGCGACGAAACTCTTCGGGATCTCCTATGGAGAAAGATCAGGAACTCAAACCTCATGGCATACGACATCAGCGCCTACAACAGCATGAACGACGATGATGCCAAGAAGACATACAAACATCTACGTGATATGATCAGAAGGCACATCGAACGGCAAACTGAAGACAGGATGATCCTGGAAAAGGAGAAGGCAGTGAAGAATGTGGCCAATATCTTTCAGAATCTCAAACCAGGCGGACCTGCTCCAAAACTGAAAGCTGCACCAGCTGATCCGAAGAAGAAACCAAAAGGGCAACAAGAACAGGTTGTCTCAGAAGACGCTGCTGCAGTGAAGCCGAAACCCAATCCCAAGAAGCATCCTGAAGACAAGAACAAAAAGGGAAAGGGGAAGGGTAAAGGTGATGGAAAGGATCGCAGCCGAAGTCCGAGTACAGACAAGAAGAAGATACCATGCAAATACTTCGTGAAAGGTAACTGCACTATGGGGAAAGATTGCCCATTCAGTCACAAGAAACCCAGATCACCATCCAGAGGATCTTCTGTCGGAAAGAATGACAAGCCAGTATGTTGGATGTGGATTCGAGGAACTTGTGACAAAGGGAAGGATTGCAAGTTCTACCATGACCCAAAAGCCTCTCCTAAGAAAGGGATATCTGCACCAGCTGACTCAGGAGACGATAGGCCAAAGCCCAAGGCAAAACCCAAACCGAAGCCTAAGGCGAAGCCTGGAGCCCCAGCCATTGACGGTGAACTCTTCATGGACGAATCCGAAGATGAAGGGATTGCTGCATTCGCCAAGGCAAGAGAAGGAGGTGCAAAAGTATCCTTTGATGAAGAGACTTGTGAGATCATGTTGAACGAAGCGATCTACTCAGTCAGGGACAAATGGAAGGTAGTAGAAAAGAAACCTCTACGTCCGGACATCAAACGATACGATGAGAAAGAGCTCACCTGCTACACGAGGAAAGAACAAATCAGATTTGAAGAAAAGGTCGCAGAGGCGAGAGGCATATTGATGGTCCCCTACACTGAGATCAAGAGGGTCCGAATACCAGTTGGACCAAAGGGTGACCTATCGGTCACTATGTCTTTTGACGAAGATGACGGCCTAGTTTTCCATCATAAAGTCATTCCTCATGTATGCGAGGGAAAGAAAGATCATGCAGACACAAAGACATTGTCTATTCCAGCCAAAGGGTCAAGAACGAAGTTCATCATGGACACAGGATGTGGATATGATTTGATATCGAAAGGCAGAGCCAAGAAATTAGGTCTGGAAGTGAGAGAAAGCGACCAATCAATGTCATTCTATACTGCAAATGGAGTGACATCCACAAAAGGAGTCGCCGACATTCATTTCGACGAATTTGACTCTACCTACTCCCCATTCGTCCTAGATGAGTCTCCTTCAGTACTGTCTGTTGGAAAGAAATGCATGGAGGAAGGATACACATTCATATGGCCAGCCTGCGGCAACCCGTACATGGTTTCCCCGAACTACAAGAAAATCATGTTAGAAGTAGAGGGAAACATCCCATATATTGTCAAGGGCAATGACTTCTGTACTCCCACCGACGATACAAGGGCGGAGATGATCGCAAGGTTCACCCTAGGAGAAGATGAAGCTGATTACCAATCGACTTTCATCAACTGTGATGTGGATCCTCAAGGAATCATGTGTGATGATGACGACCTTCCTGTGATTGAGCCTCCAAAAGTCAAAAGGCGAAAGAGGAATAAGAAGTTCAAGGCATCTCCGGGAGAAGAAGATGAGGTAGGATCAGATGTCGCCGGAGACAGTGAACCAGAAGCTGACGATGATGATGCAGATGACATCGAGGTGGATGTTGTTGACGGTGCAAGTAGAATGGTGAGAAGAGGAACTCTGAAAGCAGATGCCAGGAAAATCGAGCATCTACTCACACATCGTTACAAGAATCCCTATTGTGAGTCATGCATCAGAGCAAAGATGAAACACTTCAAGACGCATCGAGGAGCGTTCAAGAGAAAGCTCAAAGCTTTTGGAGATCTGGTTACCTTTGATTTTGTCGATACGAGGAACATCCTTGATCAAGGGATCAGTACTGATCGAGAGATCTTCGTCATTCGTGACAGGTACACAGGCGTCATATGGGCCTATCCGTCGAAAGAGAGGTTTACCAAGGACGTGGTCAATGCAATAAACCACTTCAAAGGATTGAAGAAGATCAAGATTGCTTATGCCGACAAAGCCCCAGAGTTTGAGACGGCTATGAAGCAGCTGAAGATCCCATTCGATCACTCTCTACCGAATCATCCTCAGAACAATTCTCTGGCGGAGAGGAACAATCAGTTCATTATGATGACAACCGCAACTTGTCTCTTGGAAGCGGGGTTACCACCATGTTTCTGGAGCTATGCAGTAGAATGCGTCAGCCATCTTTTGAACATTGAGGAAGGAGAGGATGGAGTGAGCCCTTGGTACAAGCTACATG